ATTTTTTGTATACTTTAAATATATTAGTTGTATTTAAAGTATACAAAAAAATTTTTTAGGGTTAGATAATTCTATATTAGTATACAGCATACAAAATATTATAGTGTCAACCATTTCAAAAACCACGATAAAGCTAAATATTGATTATTATAAAAATTTAAAATTTTTAAAATTGAATATTTAGGTCAGAGTTAGGTAAAATTTAGTTAGATAGATAAATTATATGTAAAATTTTGTGCTGAAAACTTTTACTTAGTATGCAAATTTAGTACTCATAGTGAAATATTTTGTTATTCAAGTTTTACTATTGTTATGATTACAAAATCCTTTAATTTGATTGGTTGCATAGTTTTGGGGTTCGGATTATAGTTTTGGGGGTTCAAATTTTTTTTAAAAAATCTAAAACTAGTTTTGAATTAAGACTAGTTTCAGGTAGGTTTTTAAATCTAGTTTCCATTGTATTATATTTTTATAGCTTACTAGAAGAATCTGTTATTGTAATTCTTAAGCAAGTTACTATTTTAATTATTTAGAAAAAAGTCAATCGTTTAATTGAAGAATTGAATAAACTATCTACAACTACTGACATGTCATTTCATAGAAAATTAAATTTATTTCTTTACAAAATTCAAATTTTAGCTTTGAGACTTCCACTTTTCATAGTTACTTAATTGATTTTTAAGGCGGATCTTTACTGCATTGCATTAATTTAGTAATCTAAAATTTTTTCAAATTAATATTTAATCTTTAACATTGTATGTAAATATAATGTGCTAAAAAAGAAAAATACATTCATATTTGTAAATTGAAAATAAAGGTCTCAACATGCAAATTTGTTTTAATTTCATTTGCACATGTTCTTAGTATGAGATCATATAAAAAAAAAGATTTTAAATATTTATTCGATATCTATTTATTTATCTCTATATTAATATATTGGCAGTGCCTGTTAGACATAGTTTGTTGTATATTTATTTATGCTATATTTACTTTTGCTTTGATATATTTATGAAGATTATTACATATATATGTATTTTGTTAACAATTATGTTTAAATCTTTCATTTGCACACAAAAAATACATACAATATTGTACTCAGATGATTATGTGATATTTCTGATAATAACTACTTCTTTATTGTTAAGGTAAACTACTATTAAAATTGATTTAATAATAACTGGTTCTGACTGTTATTAGATTTTATGATTTATTTTACTCTATTGTATCCTAAAGTATTATCATTATATATAGTATAGTCTTCCTTCTATATAGTCACCTCCTATATAATCACATTATAGTAAAACCCTTTTTATAATCACACCAAGGCCTGAGACACTTTATTAATAAACTTATAAAAAAATACTTCTTTATAAGCACATCATAGTAAAACCTTTATACAATCACACAATTTGTATAATACAGACTGCGTAATTATAGAGGAGGACAACTGTACCAGGCATAGCATATTATGATTTTACACCGCACTGCAAACAGACAACATTTCTTGTAGCTATTGAACTAGATGTTCAATTAACAAATTAATCAAAATATAGAGTCATAGATATGATTCAGATTAACAGGTAAAGAGCTCTTCTACTACACAGAAAGTAACAAAGAACTAAAAATAGAAAATATCTACATAGAACTAATTCTTTAAATGCTCTCCACATAAATATAGTAACATTTTATCTTTTATATACTACTATTCACATGTATCATATACACTTACCTTTTACTGGTTTATTATAGAAATTTTAAATTCAACACCATGATTCTGGACTTGGTTTTTAAAAATTTTAATTATCAATATATTTAAATAACAATAATACAGTCATTTTAATCTTGTAGCTAATATATAATACAAATAAATTTAACAGTTAAACAAGGTTAAAAGTATAATGCTAAGGGAGTTTTTTATATAATTAAATAAATTAGTAAAAAATAATTAAATTGCTAATATAATGTTAATTTGTTAAAAAGCTTGTATCAGTTATTAGTTTGTCTATCTGAAAGAAAATATTTAGAGTATAAAATTATATAACATACAATTATGCTTAAATTTAGGCATTTGCTTTTATTAATAAGATTATATAGATGTATTTATTTAATATCAAGTTGTACGATTGTAGTATATTTGATTATATTATTGTTAGTGTTTGCTTTCACAAGATATATAATATAGATAAACTATATTTACTATTACTTGGTTTTTATATTATAAGATAGTAATTAGTGACCTGGCTACACAGCTTTTTTTTATAGTAAAAAAATTTTTTAATAAAGCCACACAAACTTATACTATTGGTTCTCATAGCCTGGCTGGGTCAAATTCAACAAAAGTTTGAAAAAAAATTTTTACTATATTTATTATCCAGGTGACCTTTTTTAAATTTTTGTAAAAAATTTTATATATTTTTTACATATAAAATTTTTTGAAAGTAAAATTAAAAGCTGGGTCGCCGGGTCACAAAAAGTTACTTGGTGATATGAAAACCAATAGAATAAGTTTGTATGGTTTAAGCCACATGATCTTTTTTTTAAGTAAAAAAATTTTTTAGCCCATTGAGAACTCTAAAGATTATAAGATATCAGAAAAAACTTTATAGTTTTCTAGGCACTTAAGTTATTTAAAAGAGTTAGAATAGTATATTGTATTTCTATATTAATCTTTTATATAATAGGTATCCGTAGGCCAAAGATACTAAATTTAGTATGTACAAAAAAAATTATATTGAGCTAATTATTTAATTAATTTTATTCAAACTTTGTCAAAATATAATTATATATCAGAATAATATTTATACAAAATTTTATTTAATATTTATTAATAAAAATTTTATATAAATTAGCTTTGAATACTTTGTATTTTATTAAAATTTTGATATACTTAATCTAGTATAGTATTAAAAAAATTATATTATACAAAATTTATAATAAAATTATAAAAATACAAAAATTTTAAATTGTTTTAGATCTATAATTGATTTTAAAATAATTATTTTATTTAAATAATAAATTTTTAAAATAGTTTAAATAAACCTGTTTTATAGTGATACAAGTTTAAAAATGGTTAGTTTTTTATATATACTATATAGTAAAACATATAAAAATTTTAATAAAATTTAATTTTATATAATTTTTTATCTACTAAACCAATCTTAATGATTTTACTATTATTAGATTCAGAAAATTTAGCTTAACAACTTTTATTAAAGAAAAAAATGTTTTAATCAAATAAATTTTTTTTTATTTGCAATAATATTACTTTTTTTTACAGCTTTGGTAAAAAAAAAATTGAGGTATAATTTTTAAACTTATTAATATAACTTTTATTAAGTTATCAAATTTTTAAATATACCAAAATCAAATATAGATATAGGATTACATTTTATATAAATTTAATTTAAAGTTAATAATAACAATTTTTCAAAAATTCAATAGTTTTACTATACTAAATTAAGTATTTTGTACTAAATTTAGTACGGCTTACAGATACTCAATAATAATAAATTGTTTAGTGCTTATTTTGTTTTTATATATTTTGTGGTGTTATTATTTTAACTTTTTTGAATACAGTTTTGGTTATATATAAAATTTTATTACTTTAACTTTTTATTAAATTAAGTAGCTAATATCTTATCTTATTTTTGTTTAATTCACTTCACTTGTAATTAATTATTTTATATTGTCTCTTATTATGATATATTCTATAGTGTATTATTTATTTATTACTAGTGCAATGTAAACTACTATATGTTGTTAATATTGAGATAATTTGCATCAGAATGATTTTGATTATTAGTTGCTATAAAAAATTTAGTTATAATACTTGCTGTTTCAGTAATTATAGTATATTAATAAGTTGAGATAGAATTAATATGATTTTTATTTGAAAAGTTCTGTTACAGAACTTACTTGCTATTTAGTAGTTACAATATATAGTTAAAGTGAGTTAGATTGCATCAATAATTATCATAATTTTCTATTGTGAATTGTTGTTAATAATTTCATACAATATTTAACTTGCTATTCCAGTAACTACAGTATTCAGTTAAAATTATTATTATTTTTATTGTGAATTATAGTAAAAAAAATTCCTTTATGGAACTTACTTGCTATTTCAATAATTATAATATATGTGTTGCATTGGGATTGTTGTGATTACTGTAAATAATTCTGTTGCAAACCTTTACCTACTATTCTTGTAACTATAAAAAGTACTTAGAGTGTGTTAATTTGTATTGAGATTAAAATGATTTATTTATAAGTCATTGAAAAAAAATTATATTACAAAACTTGCTTGCTATTCTGATTAGAATATTATGATTTTTATCATGGGTTATTATAGACAAAATTTTGTTACAGGAAAAAACTTTTCCCAATGATCCTCTGTACCAAATATTCCAAATAAACTGACTTATAAAAAACTATATAGTTAATATATTTATACATAAAAAAACTTCTTCAAGTTGCTGTCGGGTACAAAGTCTATTCACTGTATGTCCTGAACTGAAATAGAGCTGAAATAGATAAAAGGCTTATAAGTAAGGCACCTTGGCGGGCCTGGTACTATTGAGCAAAGAAGTAGTAGAGAAAACTCAGAAGCTTTGTCAAACTCTGTGGATACAAAAGTAGAAATGGTTGCTTGGTTAAATATTTTATTCTATATAGTATAACTTCTACCAACTCTTTATATATTTGGTACTCGCTCTATCTCTCTTCCTCCTTTTTCCAAATTTTTCTGAAAAAGTAATATTTTCTTTACAGAAACTAGCTATTTTTTTTCAATGGAGTTAAGATCATCTTAACGATATTATTAAATTTTTTAATAATTA